TTTGTCGGGCGATATGTAATTTTTGAGGTTTAGAATGTGAGAAATCCTCTGGTCCTTTCACGATCATTATTTATGTGCTGATTTTAACATCACTCTGAACAAAAATGGGTGTTTGTAACCTGATCAGTTATCCACAGTCATATAAAATGATTAGAAAATTTTCTTGATCCTTCTACATGATTTTTTGCAGTTTTATCGTCATTACCTTTGAACAGTACATCATCATGTTTGGAGAACATTTCCTCACACATACTCACTTCTACATAAGATTATCATCCAGCCTAGGGGATTCTTAGTTTTTGCAAGGCATGAAATGCTCTCATCCTCTCGTACTCATTATTCATGTATTAATTACTATCTATGTGCTAACTATCTCGAATACTTCGACTGCTTGATGGTACTTCAAGCGTTCCCATTGTCCATGTATTCTCGCTCTCTCCGTCGCAAGCACATCCCTTTCTATGTCTATTATGTGCTGTCTTATGCTTCTGGAGGTGTTAAAATTGAAATGTGGCATTGAAATGGATAAACAACATCAGATCAGTAATTGTTGCATCAGTGCATGAAATGCTCCTTGATCCAATTGAGGTGTAGGTGTATTGTTGATCTTCAAAACTAGTCTGGTTCGCTAAGAAAGAATTGCTGTATGCACAGTTCATATTATTGTATTATACAAGGATTGTATTAATGAGTTTTATTCCATCCATTCATACACGATGAAATGAATCTCTAACACGGATATTCAGTTTTTTTTTCGTACAATTTTTACATTTTTCTCATTTATATGTATTTGTGCATAACAAAACAACGTAAAACGAGCTCAATCTATAATTAACAAAATATCGCTTAATGTTTAGACAATATATCAGCTATGCATTGACTATAACAGACAATATATGAAACAACAAATAAAATTTTCGATCAGTAAAAAAGAGTGAGATTGGCACTGAAAATCTGATCAAATAATTGGTTCACTGAAGCGAAGTACTGAAGCTCAGGAACTCCTTGAAATGACCGCTTCAGGCTCAATATTGTCAAAGATTTGCTTAACTGAATCGTCTTCTTGCAGGAAACTGTAAAATTTCTCAACCTGAAATGCATCAAAAGCCTTAAAGTGGTTTGAGAAAATTAGCAAAACAAACGAGTGGTTTGATTTGACTTCAGTCAGTGATCAAAACGAGGTTTCCTAATCGTGATAGATTCTTTTTATGAGAGTCCATAATTATTTTGGAAATTTTTTTGAAACTTAATTCCATAGGAAACTTAAAAAACTTTAAAATAAAGGAAACTTAAAAAAACTTTAGCAAGAGAATGAAAAGAATAGCATACGAGGCTTACCTTGACCAAATCTTGTTCGTTAATCGTTACGGTGTGCAACGGTCGTAAACTTAATTCAGCTGACAACACATCGTAACCTTGAGAGGATAATTTCTGCTCAACATTTTGTAAACTCTTAATATCACAGATCAACTCAAAGTGTCTGCTGCCGTCATCCTCGACCAATGAAATATCTTCACAATCCAATTCAATACCCACTTCTTCCATCTAGAACTGAACGAATGAACAGAAATAACCAAAATTTGTGTCCAAAAACAAGATGTTTGTATATGACACTTTTGGACATTACTTCGTACCATCATTATATATGCAAAATATCTGCTACAAAAGAAGCTGACAGTAGATTTTAGATGATAGGAGATGAGTGACCGAAAGTGAATGCCTTCTCATCGTACCTGTTCCAGATCTACTGGAGTGGTGGCTTTTGAAGGGGCTACTTGAATGACACCCTTTTCTTCGAAACTTCGTCTGATTCCACTGTCAGATGCGAATCGGAATCCAATGCCAACCTTCAAAAGATAAACAGCATTAAATCATGAACTAAACTCAATGAATAATACGAGGAAATGACTGCATATCGCTGAGTAACGAAATGAAACGAAAATCATCTGTTGTATTGGCAAAACTGTTGTATTGGACCTCACCTTATTCATATACTTAGCGATTGTTTGTTGCATTCTCGGCTTACTATCCGTTTCGGTTTCAATAACGAAAAATGATCCTGACGGACCAATGATATCGAAATAACATGTCACTTCTGGTTTATCCTTAAATTTTCTATGATAACTGACAAATATTTGCATACTTGTGAAAAAAAGCATGCAGAAACTGATACTCGAATATTAGACGAGATAATCATGAATTAGGTGATCAAAAAGAGAGGATACAAATATCACATTTCAGAAGAGAGTACCTTAAGTTTCAGAAGATAATTGTTGAATGTGTCCAGTGATAGACCTGAGGCACGAAATTGCTGCTGAAGTGTACTCAATTCTCTGTTCAATTTCAGATCGAAACCGCCTTTTTGAACTGCTGACTTTACTTTCCGCAATAACATATTCGTTGTTTGTGACTTTAACAAGTCCATTTTACCCTAAAACCCAGCCGCATCGTGACATTCTATGGAACAATTTCGTGGAATGATCTCTTCTCAGAACATTGAATGTGAATTCAATTGAGCAGCTTAATTGTTAACAATGATACGTCGTCACCTTTGTTGCTTTAATATTCTGCCATTTCGAATGTCCTTTCAAAACTTTACTTGAAACACTCAGATTTCGCCTCAAAACTGCTAACGACACCACAACAGAACGCCCTAACGATGCCATCCAGTGCTTCTGATCTTCTTCCTATCAGCAATCGAATCGCCTAGCTGCAACTGTTTGATTTAGGCAACTCGAAACGAAACCCTAGAGTGGCCAATATTGTTAGTGATATGTGAATCTGCTGAATGATCACAAAATGAAACTTTTTCAACCGAAATCGCCTCGTTTTATGATAACATACATTCTGATGAACTTCATTTCTTCTTCTCATTCTATATTATTAGAAGTTGTTCTGTTGGATGAAAGTACTTGAATATCATTCATAGCAGCTATTATACCTTTCACTATATACACACAAATTTTGTGATATGACTAATATACACGAAGCATTGAAATAATCCAAAACACCCTTCTTATGGAACACTTTATTATAGAATAGGTAGAACTGTTACAATATATCAAATTTATAACAAGAACGACACCTAAGACAGAAACAACAACAACAATAGCAACAAGAAACAATTTGCTACAACTTAACAACCAGTAATTTACTGAAATGTTTCAGAATTTCAAATCCAATCGAAACAATGAAAATATGCGATCTTTTTGGTTTCACACAGTCGAGTTACAATGAAAATCATTTGAATGACGCTTTTCAACACACCAATAACGATGTCGTCAATAAGACGAATAGTCGTGAAAGAAACAATATGATGGATGATAACCGTTATATTTTACAACCGAAAACAACACTGCCATCATTCAACGTTGAACACTGAACATGAAAGAGATCATCGTATACGAGATATTGCTTTATATCAAACAACAAATAACAGTAAGTATTCAGCTTTATC